GAGAGGAATTTAACACACAGGTGCTTAAAGCAAAAGTGAGAGGCTTTCATATCACACCTCTGATTGGTCAGTCATTGGCTCATTTCTGATTTCCCGTGATGCTTTGGTGCTCTTCCTTTCCTTCTCCTAAGCCCTGCTCCATGCATCCTTCATTCCTCTCTACTACATTTTCAATCCTGAAAACCAGGGCTGCTTGGCACATGCATTTTTCCACATGTGTCTACTCCATTCTCCTCTCCTCTATTCCACGCAGCTTCTTGACCCTTCTTAGACCACTGTGGCTTTCTGCCCCCTCACAATGTCAGTGTGCTGATGGCTCGTCCTGGCCCAAGCCCAACCTCATGCCCGCTTCGACCCTCAGCCCCATCGCTCTCTAACCCTGTCTTCCAGAGTCTCCCTGTCAGATTGCCAAGGCAGCACTCTGATGGTTGAGCTCACTTTTCACATCAGCCCTGATTGGCGCTTGTGAGTGCTGAGATGAGACTGTCCCTGTGGAGTCAGGCCATGCCTGCCTAGGTGGGTCCTTAGAGAAGGGGGTGGGCAGGACATGCCTCTGGGACCTGTGGGGACATGGTCAAAGCTCAGTGCTCAGCAGAGCCTTTTCCTTTAGATAAAAGGTAGATAAAAATGTATTTTATAGGTAGATGCTATATGTAATGTATTATATATAAGAACAACATGTGGTATGTAAAGGATTTTGTTAGCATAGTGATCACAGAACTAGCTCAAATGTTATTTCTCCTTGACATAGCCTAAAAACTGGACAAAGGCAAGCTGATACTGCGATGACATTAATAGAATTAGTATATATGAGTCAACCAGTTTTAAGAAACATTGATACGGGGAGTCCTTTGGTTTTAAAGAAAACACATTTATAGAGAGAGGAGAGGAACAGAACACATAATTGAAGTGAGGGAGGGTGAGGCTCTCAAAGTTCTCACAGGTTTGCATTTTCCCTTAGCTCAAGAGGGACATGGAGGTGCGGAGTCTGTGGGAAACAAAAGTGAAAACTGGAGGTTGGAAATGGTGGAGATTTTATACAAAGAAGGGCTAGAGGGAGCTGGAGTGTTCCAGGATCCAGCCCCAGTTTACAGGGCGGGGAGAGGAAGGTAGAGGGGTGCTTAGGTTCAAGGGCCTGACTCTCCGTAACTGAACGGTCAGGAGCCCCAGATAGGCAGGACACCTGCAATTCATCGTTTTACAGGGAGAAGCTACTCTCATATGACTCACAAACTCTCCCTGTTGTCATACCAGGCAGGCCATATTTTAACCTGAAGGCTATTTTGTGGAGATACAGTTAAAGCAAAGGGTATTTATCTAAGAGAGTTTGGGATCCAGGGCCACTGTAACCCTATGCCCTGGACAGGGCTGAGTCAGGCTGACCACACAGAATAACAAAGTGATGAAAAACTGGGGCATCGGGCCCAGACAGTCTGGGGTTGGAGTCCTGATTCCCCTGCTTCCTAGCTGGGTGATCGACATCCCAGTGCCCCAGTTTCTTCATCTGGGAAGAGTGTCTAACAACAGGATCCGTCTCCCAGGGTTGTAGCAAGGCCTACGAAAGAGAACTCGTGGCTGAGCTTGGCTCAGTGCCTGCCCGTGATTTGTGATCATAGCTGTCAGTTATTATTACACCCTCTCCCCTCCCCTTTTCCACAGACTTCTTCAGTTTCCAGTTGACCTATTGCTTAATTCTTTAGCTGTGTTAACACCATTGTTTTTGCTGCCACCTTAACAAATAGTTCAAACGTCCCTGGAAGTAATCCTTGGAATAAAGCTCCTTCAGTTTCCCATTTAAAGACTGCTGTATATACTGACGCTTTTTGTGCTGACCAACATTCTTTTGGGGGAGAGATTTCCTAGGAATCAATCATATTCCCATTTGTGCTTGTGGGGGAAGCTGCCAAAATACTGGTAACAGATCGCCAGGTGCCTCGGGTGTTTCTCGTTGGTGGACAGAGTGAGGAAGTTGCCTAGGGAGTGCTTAAATCTGGAGAACACGAACCAGGGGCTTGTAGAAGGTAGAGAGAGAGCAGTGGTTTCTTAATGCTGTGGCTTCTATGGGTGTGGGTTTGAGCATGGATGAGGGCTAGCCATTTTTCTGTGTGTAAATACATTTGTGTTTGTAAGCTGAGGGCGAGGCTCAAGCTTGTGTTCTGATGCTGGTGGGGGTGGGTTAAGTTTTAAGTGGGCCTGGGTCATCGGCTCCAGGTAGCCGTGCAGTAAGATTTGCTTTTATTTTACAAAAGATAAAGCTACAGTTTCTAGTTGAAATAGGTCTTTTTATCGTGCTAATGGCTTTCTGAGTGAGCAAAGGAAAAAGATGTCAATACAGTAATTACTTAAAATAAGCTTATTTGAGTGGCTTCTGGCAAGAGTGCTATGATCTGATTCCCAAACCAAAGCTTGAATCACTGGTCTGAGAAGCAGATAGGTGCTCCTGAAAAACTCCAGCGTGTGGGGTCCCTGCAAACATAGTTTGGTGATAAAACTAGAGGCCATTCTGACATGGGGAGACCAATTCAATTCCCCATTGACAGTTTGTTAAGGCTTTCGGGCCACTGAAAAGAAGTCAAATATATGGTCAGAAATATAGGCAAAGACGAAGTAGAGAGGTTTTGGGGTTGCTGTGGGGATTGGCAGGAGGTAGTCTGAGGTGTCTAAAGGGGAGGGGGAGGGAAAGATACGAAGTTTAGAATAATATCTATTGAAACCACAGCCAGGACGCCCTCTGGAGAATTTGTGTTGAAGACTATATTTTCTGTGATAGCCCTGAAAGCATAAAGCAGGGGGCAGGAATCAACACACGCAGAGGAAAATGAAACAATTCCACTCTGTGATGAGAAAACAGCAGGCTCAAAGTCTGTATAACCATGAGCCTGAAAGAGGAGAGGGCCCGGGGACTGTGTCCGCACACTGAGAATCGTCGATAGACGCCACTCAGGTGAGTTTCTGATTGACAGCGCTGCCTTGAAACACGATTGATTACCCAGAGGCCCGCGGCCGCCTGCAGACATGCCTGAGCTCTGCGGCCAGGGCGGCAGGAAGACCTAACTGCCTCCCCAGCAGCAGCAGAGGAACCGTCCATCAGCGCAAATCCCATTCTCCGTAGAAGACTTGAGAATGAAGGCCCTGAAATGACAGGCACCGTTTCAAAAT